TTTTGGAGTCATTTTTCCAATAAAACAATTCTTTTTAATTTTTAAATGTCGGCTAACTTAATTTTCATAAAAAATTTCACATGTAGAAATTTAAAAAAATTATAAGTGTGAATTTTTAAAAATATTCTTTTTATAATAATTCAAATAATTGTCAGATGTTTGCTAATTTATGAAAATTAAGTTAGCCAACCCTTTAAAATATTCGATTTTTTTTATTAATTAAAAATTAGAACTTAAAAACTACTTTTAAAAAATTCTATGCATAATTTTTAAAATTATCTACGTGGGAAAATTTTTGTTTTAATTTTTTAAAAAATATATTTTAATAAAATAAATTATAAAAATTTTTAAATGTCGGCTAATTTGATTTTCATTTTAAAGAGAAAAAAGGAAATAGGAGTTGAAAAAATGGGAAGAAATGATTTAGAAAAACATAGAAAAGAAAGTAAATTTAAACCAGAAGAAAAGAAGAAATAAATTAATATTTTCATAGAGTGCAAAAATAAATTAAGAAGAAAGAGAAGAAGTTAGCATTGAGAAGAAATTTTTATTAAAAATTTGTATACAATTTAAAGAAAGAAGAAAAGCACCAATCTGTTTGTGATTTCTTGACTCCAATTATTGATAAAATGAAAATACCGTAATTAAATGAATGAAGAAATATAATTTTAATAGAATGTAAATGTTGGATTGTAATTATCTGTAGATAGAATAAAATACCAACTTGGAGAAAGTGAAAAAATATGATAACGTGTCATATGGCTGTTAAGAATACACTGAATAAATTTTGACCCTAGTGTTACGACGAGCCCCGTCTACTTGGGTTCGAACTCGCTCGGAAGATCTCGGGTGAACTCGTGCGCTGAACGCTCAAGAGTGTCGAGTAAAAGAGCGAGAGGAAGTGCAGAGGAAGAGGAACAGATACAAGGAGGGAGTAGCGATTCCCGGCTACCTCAATACCATCCACTCGGTCTTTTCCTCTTTCTCTAGTATTAAAACCGGGCCGTTTGGTATCGCGGTTATTCGCGAGTAGAGACAAGAGCACTCCTCCATATCCACATCCAGCTCCTGCACTGTGCAGCATTCAACAGCATTCACGTCCACGCACGTGCCAAACGCAACCATCGTCAATACGCTGATGATATCGTGCTCAGTCCTCATAATCTTCCATCCAGTATTTTAAATACATTTGCATTTACATACGTTTTATAATATTTACATTTATACTCCTACACCCACCATTTAATCTAACTGGTTACATCTAATAATACTTGTACTAATTAATCCCAGACATTATCGCGAATTTGCGATTCGTAAAGACATGGACGGAGAATAATAAAGCGGCTCTAAAGCTCTTAGAGCAATTACTTTTTATTGATAGCTAATTTTATAGGAATCAAACTATTGAATTTGTCCTTTGATTACAGATAGAACCTTTGAAACATTTTTCTTTTTATAATTTCAATCCTATTGTTGATTTTTCTCTTAATAATTATTATTTGGACGATTATTTCTTTAACATTTTCTAACTATTACAACTTTACTGCTTCTTGAATGAAGAGATAACTTCTGACTGCGATGACTTATCAAATATTTGTATAGTGCAATTGAAAGCTCATTGAATAAGCTTCAATTTCCATAATTATTTTTATATCTATTTGATAGAATATTATTCTTCCATTTATTTTAGTAATTCAGCAAGATTTTGATAATTAAAAAAAATCTACTTTCATTTAAGCTGCCAAATTTTTTACTATTTTACAGCTCAAAAATTTTAATAATAGGGTAAAAGACCCAATTAGTGACGGGGACCCCATTACTGAGACTTTCTTTGATTTTGGCACTTATTCAATCAATGAAATCATTAATTTAAAAAATTTATATATTATTTCTAATCTTTAAGACATTTTTTGTAGAACATTTTTTTTTATTGAAAAAAAAGTGCCACTAATGGGGTATTTTACCTTACAATTTACACTGATAAAAAAATTATTGATTTATTAGAAAAAATCTTGAGCTCAGAAACATAATTTTATTGTTTTGAATCAAGCAGAAAAATTTTTTAACTAAATTTTACTTAATGGAAAACCTTTCTTGCTTGATTTAAGATAGCAAAATTCTTAAAAATTTTAATAATTATTTACAAGTCGGGTCAATCCCATTTTGAGCCATAAACTAGGTGAAAAATTAACATTTAAAAATTTCTTTTCAGTTATTCTACTTGTTTTTACGGCGCATTTATGATAAAAAATGCCGTGAAAGGAAAAAATAAAGATTTCGATAGCTTTTTCGTCTCTAAAAGTTGGAAAAAATGTTGGTTTTCATGTTTTTGGATAAAATTTCTATTTTATCTTTTTTTGATGTTCTTGATATATTTTTTTCTGAAAAGTACATAAAAAAAATGAACAGTTTTGAAAGAAAATTAATTAACAAATATCAATAACAATAATTTAGTGGAATTTGGTAATTGTAATACTTATACTCAGACTATTTATCAAATTATAAAATCATTATCTTCAGTACATAATATGCAGGTACTTTAATTTAAACAATACTTGTTGGCCCCTGACTCAAAGAAGAATAATTTTTTTTCAGCTCACAGTCGACAACTCAGTGTGAAAGCAATTCCATTACGCAAGAAATAGAGAAGATTGTGGAACTTTAGCGTCACGCGGTGAACAATGCGTTAGCTCTCAGATATACAGCAAAAGTATACTCTACATCTCAATCGTATCCACACTCACTCTCATCTCATCTCTTCTATCCTCTCACATTTTCACACTCTCGCCGTCATTCTTATCATCCCTACCCACTACTCACCATCAATTACATGTACATACATCATCATCATCATATATATAAACAATTCCTCTTTATCTCACCTTGTTTTTATGTTTTATTCTCATTGAAATAATCCAAGATAACACCCAAGTATGTTCTCGTGTATATCTGTCTATAGCTCGTTTTGATAAATAAAAGTAAATAAAAAATTTATAATCTGGAGCTGAGGGACCATTCATGTATTGCGTCACGATATTTTCCAGGTTTTTTGACCCTTCACTTCCTACACACTCAAATTTTATCAGTTTTTTATGAAGCCCCGAGACGTAACGTCGTATTGAAACTTTTACCCTACGCTGATAGAAGAATTTCGAAACTTTTAATGTATTTATTGATTTAAAAACAATTTCCTAATTTATTGAGTATAAATAATTGTCTTTTAACTTTTAACAAATATTTATTACTAAACGAATATTTATTAACAGTTAATTAATTTATTTTTGGGGCTTTAATTTACATCATAAAAAAATATTCTGTAATCAGTACTTTATATAATTATAGAAAAACTAATAATCTATCTGATCTAGTGGAATTTTTTTATCTATTCAAGTTATGGAATTTTAAAAAGTGTCTAACTAAAATTTCTACACCAATTTTTTATACAAGAATTCAAATACATTTTTAGGAATAATCAACAAGTATATACTAACTATAAATAAATATTTATTAAATCATCTGATATTAAAAAACTAGTAACCTTGCAGTCACTATGTGACTGCCGTGACTTGTGAATTATAAATAAATAAAATTTTTCTTAATTAAATAATGACTTGTTTAATTGCACTGTACTTTCTTAAATATTGACGATTTTAAAGATATAAGCTCATCCCGATGTTACACTCTTTAAGAGCTGTCATTTGAGTACCCACATGCATTTTCATATATTTTTCATATATACATATATATAACATATATAATAAATATATGAAAAATTGATGTGGGTACTCAAATGAAAGGTCTTGGTGAGTGTAACATCGGGATGAGCTTATATCTTTAAAAATGTCAATATTTCACTAGATACTTGTTAAATTGCATTGTACTTTCTTAAATATTGACGTTTTTAAAGATATAAGCTCACCCCGATATTACATTTATCAAGAGCTTTCATTTGAATACCCACATGCATTTTGATATGTTTTTCATATAGTGAGTGTAACATCGGGATGAGCTTATATCTTTAAAAATGTCAATAGTTCACAAGATACAAGGTAATTTCTTAATTATGTATCTAGAGATAGAGAATTTTCGAATGCAGCCTAAATACTTATCATAATAAATTGACTACCGGTGAAAATGAAATAAAACCTTGGAAAGGAATAAATTCAAGTCAAGACCTTTGCAATGACACTAAATTTCTCTAAAAAAACCGATTTTATCATATGACTATCCTGGACACAAAATTTTTCTTATTCTCTTGGTAATATAGATTATTTATCAATAAAATTAATAAAAAAGCAATAAATTATTAAATAATCTTTAGTAATTAATAATCTGCCATTTTAATCAATTGATTTAAAATAATTAAAGTACTCTAAACAGCCCACATTATGTAAATTAATTCTATCGATTACTACACACACTTGCAAATATACATCATATATTTATGCATGTGTATCTAGTAGCATGTATACTTGTTGCGCGTTTGCTCAAACTAAAGAGAGTTTAAATTGAACCATTGACTTTAGTTTACTTGTATCACTTCAAGAGTAAATTTTTCTACTAGCAAATCTAAACAATACTGATTGAATTTCAGGTAAAAAAAAAAAAATAAAGTTAAAAAATAAAGGTTGAGACAGAGATAAAGATAAACGGAAGAGAAGGAATTAAAAGTATATTTTTAATAACAAATTAAATTTCAACTGATGGAATAATTTTTTCCTAGCTTTGTGAAAATGGAATTGTTAACGAGCTTGATTATGAATATTCAGCTGGTATTAAAATCATAAAAGCACTTGGAAGTTTTTATTTTTATCCCCTAGTGGAAAAATAATACAACGAAAGTGTAGGATTTATGAGAGATATAAAACAACAGCTTATTGTACTGGATACACTTTATACTGTAGCAAGTAATATGGAAACAAAAGTAGATGGTGTATTAATAATTAAATGATGATTAAATTTTTGGAATGCAATTCTCTATCTTTTAATTCTATTAATATTCAGTTGATAGGCCAGATATTGTAATTTCCATTCGCTATGAAGATATCAGGGCCAAGGATATCCGAGTACACCTCGACCTTGCAACCCGATATTCTGAAAATTTCATAACGCTACCAGTTACCGAGAAATAAGAATGAAAAATAATAATAATAGTTTGATGCCTACAATTTTTATTTTTTTACAAAAAATCCGATAAATTCTTGTAAGAAATACGATTCTTTTAATTATCAAGAAAACAAAGTTATAAAAAAAAAAAATAGAACTTTCTTAATAAATTAAATTTACTAGACAATTTAATCCAATCCTTATTTTTCACTTTATTAAAAATTCATTTAAACGTATAAAGTTTATAAATATTAATATTATCATTAAATTAAAAGAATGAAAAATATCTTTAGTTAAGATGAAATAATTGTTGAGCACTGACGTTGTGTTCAATTAAAGTACAAAAAATATATAATTAAATTTGAATTAGTATTTGAACAATGTGGCTGCCCACTTTTAAAACATAGTAACTGCAAAATTTTTATACCTGCTTTTTTTTTGTATTGCTGCATTTCTTATAACTTTTAGACCTTTATTTCAAGTAATTTTTTTTTTAAATATTTAGATTTATATTTAAGTATTTTCTATTCAAATTTTTTATCAATCTGGCGCGCAAAATTTTTTTTAATAAAAAAATTTTTTTAAAATCTTAAAATTGTCAGTTACTGTGTTTTAAAATTGAGCAGCCGAATTAATCTGCCGCAAAAATAGTTACACATATTATAATAATAATAATAATAATAATAATAATAATTTTATTATTATTATTATTATTGTTATTATTATTGTTAATGATAATTTGCGTTTCACACGGTGTCAGTATTCCAGATATATGTATCTCAAGATGATCTGACTGTTGAATCTGGGAGTGCGTATATCCTGTCAGCAAACGACACCCTGAGGGCATCTCTCACTGTCGACTGACTAATCCACGGAAATTACATCAACCAATCATAAACCAATGATGATTAATAACATTAAAATAGCCAGACAGAAATAGCAGCACATCGTAAAGTACAGGTAGGTGAGACGAAGATATCATCAATCTCCCATCAATCTGATGTTATATTTTAAATAAATTATACACACGGTTACACACAAATATATGAAGAAATGCTGGTAAGTAACAGAAAATCAGAGATGAATCAACGTATAAGAGTGGCTCGATAATGATGGTTTCCTGGGCAGAGACTGAAAAGTACAGAGTCTCCTTTCTTTGCGTGCTACAGTCAGCCGTACACGCAATTACCAGCAAGCTAATGCGAGGTTGTCGCTACGACAATTAGCTATCTTCTTTTCAGAGACTCGCTGGCTGGCTGGCTGACTGGTAGTGATGCTGATACTTGTCGCAAATTGCCATTTGTGCACGCATCTGCTGAGTGGATGTGTGTATCTGTGTAATTGGATCTCAGAGGAACCACACGATCAATTCATGACGGTTTACATCAATCATACGCTTCTTCATATTCAGTAATGAACGATTATTTAATTTATGTGCCACGAACAAAAAAAAAACCATGACATTTAATGAACCTGCTAAAGATTGAGGTTGTTTGTTTTCGTTGAGACTTTTACTGGTGCTGCTGCTATTAGTGACAGGCTCTTAGTACTGAAGAGACCGTTTTGTCTGGATGTCTTCGAGGATTGTCCTCAAATCTTCTTCCTCTAGACGACCTTCTATACTTGGTATCAGTGACTTGGCTTCTTCTGTTGTTTCCGGACACAGATTCGCCAGTGAAGCAACCTCAAATTTGTGTAACTTCTTCTGCATCAGCATACTAAAAATTTATTTATTATTAATTACTAGCAACCTTGCAGTCACTAAGTGACTGCCGTGACTTGTAAACTATAATAAATAAAGAACATTTTGCTTTATTAAATAATTAAATTTGTTAAAATACACTGTACTTTCTTAACTATTGACGTTTTTAAAGATATAAACTCATCCCGATGTTATACTCATCAAGGGCTTTCATTTAAGTACCCACATGCATTTTGATAAATTTTTCATGTATACATATATATTAGGGTGGCGCAAAAAAACCGACTATTTTTTTTTTTTTAGTCTAGAGTGAAAAAATGTTAGTTTTTGATGTTTTAAGAGCCCTCACCAAAGGACAGCTCAAAAAAAAATTTTTAAGAGGTCACTCCAAATTTTTCAAAATTTCAAAAATCGTCAAAAATCAAAAATTTTTTGTTTTTAATTTTTTTTCTCGTTACGGTATAATCTTATAGACTAAAAAAAAATAAGTTTCTGAAAATTTCAGTTCAAAATTCGAATTTTGAAAGGTCGCTCATAATTTTTTTCAATTTATTAGTGCATTAGTTTAGATTTTTTCGAGCGACCTTTTACTATTCAAATTAAAATTCCACGCATTTTTTTTTTTTTTTATTTAGTACAATAATCGATAAGAATACATCACGAGATGAACTAAAAATCAAGCACAACATAGAAAATATAATTTTTTTTAATTTAATAATTTTAATTTAATCAACTGCCAAGCGCGAGTATTAAAATTCCACGCATTTTTTTTTTTTTATTTAGTACAATAATCGATAAGAATACATCACGAGATGAACTAAAAATCAAGCACAACATAGAAAATATAATTTTTTTTAATTTAATAATTTTATTTAATCAACTGCCAGGCGTGAGTTCGAATCCCAAGCTGGTCTTAGAAACCAGCTTGGTTGAGATTTGACCTTGCCGCGTAAGTTAAGATTTTTTCAAACCAAAAAGACCCCAACGTACCACTCCCAACACTTAAAGTCGGCGATATGACTAATTAACGAAAAATAAAAAAAATTATGAGCGACCTTTCAAAATTTAAATTTTGAATTGAAACTTTCAGAAACTTATTTTTTTTCGGTCTATAAAATTATACCGTAACGAGAGAAAAAATTTAAAAAAAAAATTCGATTTTTGACGATTTTTGAAATTTTGAAAAATTTGGAGTGACCTCTTAAAAATTTTTTTTTGAGCTGTCCTTCGGTGAGGGCTTTTAAAAACTAAAATTTTTTCACTCGAGACTCAAAAAAAAAAATAGTCGGTTTTTTTGCGCCACCCTAATATATATAATATATATTTTCAAGATATAAGCTCATCTTGATGTTACACTTATCAAGAGCTTTCATTTGAGTAACCACATGCATTTTGATATATTTTTCATGTATACATATATTTACATATATAATATATATAAATATATGAAATATTGATGTGGGTACTCAAATAAAAGGTCTCAATGAGTGTAACATCGGGATGAACTTATATCTTTAAAAATGTCAATATTTCACGAGATATTTGTGAAATTTCTTAACTACTGACTATCCTAGACACAAAATTTTTCTTATTCTCTTAATAATATAGTGTTAATATTTATAAAATATTGAATAGTAAATGATACTGTAATTTATATAATACTAAACTAAAATTGCAAAACATAATTACATTAAAAAATATAAATAATTAATTATCAAAAATAAATTTCTATATTATCTGATGTTATTCAATCTCCGGATATATGTATATGAAATTAGTAAATATTTAAACTCTATTGTAATTATAATTCTTAAAAATATGTTTTATCTAACCAACATATGTAGTTGTACAATAGCACCAGATATTATTTTTATATTTCTTAAATTAACATTTCTATCAATAATATTTATTCAAAAATATTTTAATAACCCTTTACTATTGACATTTATTTCAGCGATAAAAAAAGCAGCAGACAAATAAAGAATTCTAAAAAATATTTGCTCAGCTCTAATTTAGCAGTATCACACTATCATAAATAGAATTTATGCTAATTATCTATTAAAATAAAAGCGTTACCTTCTAACAGCAGAAATCATTTCCTTGCTTTTAAATTTACGGAACCGTTCAGTGTAATTAAAACTTTTAGTAAATACTTCAGAGAATTCTTGCTCGTCTTCAGCTAATTCATTTTGCGCTTTTCTGTGCTGGAGCAGCAGATGTACCTCAGATATCAGAAGGGTCTCAGCGTTTTCAAACTCTGTAAATAATCAAGTATTAAAAATTATTCAACTCAAGAAAATCTAAATAAAAACAACTACCTTAAAAATAAAAATAAATAAATTATTGATGCTTAGTAATATAACCAAGCTGTGCCAAAAAGTCAAAAATCTTCCTCGTTTTATTAACATCAATCTTAAGTAAAGTTCTCGCCTGGGCAAGTCTCAAGTGTCCCATCTTTTTGTTCTCAGTTATCAGCAAGTGTTTGAACTCGAGATAACTCTCCGGCATTATGCGTACAGTAGAGCACAACTCTCTCTCAGCCTCATCGAGCTTATCATAGCAAGGCGTGCCTTCGATCTCCAACGGGGGAGGCTTTTTGCGTTGACAAATATTTCCAACTAAATTATTATTCCCAGCAGCCGAATTACTCCCATTCAAAATATTTTTAAAAGACTGTTCAATATTGCTAGCATATGACCGTCTGTCTTTTTCCTGCTCGCGTCTCAGATTTCTCAATTTTTGGTACAAAGGTACGCTGTAAAAATGTTTGAGACCGTTTTTGCGAAACTCAAACAGCTTACTGATGTAGTTTTTAATTTCTCCTCGATGATGGAGACACTCCATAACATAATCCAGGTCAAGACCATTAACCAGCTGCATTATCTTGAGTAATTTCTCAGCAACTGGAAGCGTTATCGTCCTGTCGTACCTCTGCAACCACAGCATTGTCCGCCTGACAGCAATCAAGCCGTGCTCGCGTATAATATTTTTCCGTCTCTCGCGCTCCTTCAGCCGAGCATTGTACCCCTCGACAATAGCAGCTTGCAAGCTCTTCCCCAGGTTATAATTATCATCATCTTCCTCATCAAACTCCTCGTACTTCAAGTCAGCAATCACAGACTCCGCATGATTGTCAAAATTCACCTCGAAATCTGAACGAGCTGCATTATATCCAGCCAAGGCGCGACTGTTAACTGAATTAGGAGCAAACCTAGGAGGCTCTTCGACATCATTGAGCTTGCAGGAAAAATATATCGTCTCTGTTACTGCAATTGAGGATTCTAACTTGGGTAATCCGGGTAAAGTCGGCTCGTCGATGTAATACTTCATATAATGAGCTTCAACTTCTTCTGGAGACATTCCAGGCAATCTTTTAGCGATGTCTATCCAATTACCAAACCCACAAACTTTCAGAGCGTCGATTAAAATTAATTCTTCTCTTGCTGACCATCCAGACTGGTCATTTACGGGAAACTCATTGGTTATCACTCGGTACGGGTGATTGTTCTCGTGCTCTGCTGCTTCCCAGCCGTTGGAAAAACACGATGAGCATATTGTGTAATTACACACCAGGCATTTTATGTAAGGTTCTATTAATGCAGAATTACAGCCACGACAAATCGAGTCTAAAGTTAAATTTTCATCCTTTAAAACTGATTTATTGGGCTTGGAGGTTACTTCGAGCATTCCAGAGGCTGCAAGCAAGAAAATTGTAACTTCAAACTCGACTTTTTTCAATAATTTATTTATTTTTATTTTAGGTTAGTATCTACTTGCAATTTTATTTATTTATAATTTTGTAATGAACTTACCTTTGGGAAATTGTAAATCTGCTGCGTCTTCTTCAATTATGTCAGAGTGCGCAGGGTTCGCCATTGTGTATATTTTTATTTATTTTGTTTAATTTATAAATATTGTAAAAAATTTGTAACAAGGTAAGAATCGACAAGTGGAAATTGTATGTAAATTTATGTCGCATGTAAAAATATAAGCGGTGTCCGTCAGTGTACTCGGGTACAGTAAGTTGCGCTCGGGTTTCTCCGGGAAAAATGGCCGACAGGCAGCCGCTAAGGCGCCAAAAAATTTTAAATAAATTTTAGCAATAAATAATTAGAAAATGGCTGACATTAGATTGCAAAATTGAAGAATAGAACAAAAACAATGGATAATTTTAGGTGACCAAAAATAACTTGTTAATAAAAATAATTTTGAGCTTAGAAAAAAATAAATTTCTTAGATTCTAATAAAAATAATTAAAAATAAATATTTATGAGATTTAATTAATAAAAATAATAATTTTTTTAACTCACCGGTTGATGATTCTTCAGTGAAAATATTAAAAAAGAATATTTATCGGAATAACTTTTGAAAGAACATGCAATTTATTATTTAAATTAAGTTATCCGACATTTAGAAATATTTTTTTAGTAAAAAAATTATTGAAAAATAATATAAAAAAATTTTCATTGGTAAAAAACTTGAAAAATTTTCAGTGCAATTTTAAAAAAAATATTTTTTAGTTCTAATAATTAAAAAAAATCAAAAAATTAATAAACGTCAGCTAACTTTAGTGTTATAAATTTACTAATGCTTTGGTTAGTTAAGTATCACTGATTTATTAAGTCTTAATTAGTTTAAATTACTTATTTTCTCTTTGTTAAATCGCGTAATCACTTTTAATTAATTAATGATCTTATTTTTTCTAAATTTTACTCGAAATATCTGGAACTACCGAAGAGAGATTTAACTAGAATGGCGTCATGCGCAGTATTGCGTAGCACAAGCACTCTGAAACCGGAAGCCATCCGAGAGAAACAGTTAGTTCGTAAAAGTGCCGCGGGAAGCGCGCGCGGTGCGCGGAAAAAATTTGAAATCGTATAAGGACAACAACAATATGGCGGCAAGCGGACACAATAATAGAAAGTGAAGCCGGAAACTTAAAAATAAAATAAAACTAGTAAATAAATTATTTTTGATAAATATTTTGTCGGTCTGATGGAGGCCATGCTTGCTAATTACGGGACGACAATTCAGTTGATAGATAACGACCTGGCTCGTTCTAATGAAGAGTTCAAAAAACAAATGGAGATGTCTAACGAGTGAGTACATAACCTTAATTGCAAAATAAATAATACGAGTTGCTTTATTATGATTTTTTAACTCGTCTAATTTTTTTTTTTTTTAAATTAGAAACAAAAATAAGAGAATGAAAAGCATTCTCAAGACGACTTTGACTATGATGAAGAGCCCGGGTAACGTCCAAGAAACACCCGATGATTCAAGTGGAAAAACTTGGTGGGAGCAGTTCAAAGATTCTGGTTATCCTGATGATCAGTGTTTCGAATTTTTCAGATGTTCGCGTAAAACATACGTCTATTTGATTGAAAAACTGAGCCCGTATATTGAACCAAAAGCGGGAATGACAGTTCATCATAGATCTTCTAAAAATGGTAGCTGATGAAATAACACTAAAGTTAAATAAAAATTAATGATAATTAATTTGGCAGATATTTAATAATTTTTAGAACTTTTGTTAACAAATAAATTATGGCAAAAAAAATGAGAAAAAAAAATTGACATGTATAAATTTTAAAAAATTAAAAATGCAATTTTTTAAAAATAATTATTTTATAAGTTTGTTTGGTAAAAAATTTTTTTTAAATGGTCAAGTGACTGCTAACTTGAATGTTATTAAAGTTAGCCGACGTTTTTATTTTTTTGATTTGTTTTAACTATAAAATTAGAACTAAAAAAGATTTTTTAAAAAATGTGCTCACAGTTTATCAAGTTTTTTACAAATAAAAATTTTTTTTTTATTTTGTAATCATTTTTTCAATAAAAAAAAAAACTCTAAAAATTTTTCAATGTCTGCTAACTTAATTTTCATGCTGATATATTATTTTTTTTTTATCCAGGATACAGTAAGGATAATAATTTTTTTTTATCAATTTCAGGCGTTCCGGTAGACAAGCAAATAGCAGCAGTACTGTCAAAAATATCAAATCGCGATACATTTGGAAGGCTGTCGGCAAAATTCAGCTTATACAAACCAACTGTGCATAAAATAATGCAAAGATTTGTAGATATTGTGTGCAAGCATCTACTGCCGCAGGTATGACATTATGACATTAAAGTTAGCAGTCACTTAACAACTTTAGAATTTTATTTAACAAAAAAATTTATCCCAAAAAATCATTTTAAAAAAATTGCATTTTTTATTTTTTCAATTGCACGACTCATGATGCGAAGCATCAGAGAGTGCTTTACGATCGAAAAATTTTCTTCGCCTCATTTTGGCAGCTATTTTTATTATTATAGTCTTGTTAGTTCACGGAATCAAGATATTTTGCATACTATTGTCGAGATAATTTAATGGAGATTAATTCCATACTTTTTAAAAATTGATTTACTGCAATAGAATCGGAAAAAAACACCAAAATAGGCCAAAAAATTTTCCTGTCCGTCATGTGTGAAACCCGAAAACACTGTAACTTGTGAAAAAATCCATTATTTGAGTTAAATTTTTTTTTTTTAAATTCTAATCGACGATTGTAGGTCAAGTCACTGAATGCGAATGATTAATTAATTCAGTGTCGTTTAATTACAATTAATAAAAAACGAAAACTACAAGACTGTATATCTATATATATATCCATGTAAAATTAACATGGATGGTGACATATCTATAGATATTATATACATTTATTCCACCAGAGACGCTTGTGCAGTACCTTCCTAGTACAGCTATTTTTTCGGCAACTAATTTTGAACGACTTATATTTTTTTTTTTTTAATATTTTATAATTAAATGAGCATTATGAGTCGTGCACTTTTGGATTTTGCAAACTTTTTTTCTACATATTAATTTTTTTTTCTAATTTTTTTTTGCTATAATTTATTTGTTACAGAATTTTTTAAATTATTAAATATATGTTAAATTAATTTTCATGCCACAGGTTGTAAAGATGCCAGATTCTGCAGAAGCTGCTGAAATAGCGGCGGCCTTTGAACAACAGACAAAGTTACCTCAGTTAATCGGTATCATTGATACTCTTCACATTCCTATTTGCAACGCGTACGGAATGGCCGATGCTTTCACAAATTCAAAGAATTATTATTCGTTTGTTGCGCAAACAATTGTTGATTCTAAAAATTGGTACGTCACGGTGATTATTTTATTTATTATTTAAGTTATTAATTAGAACAGTAAGAAACTAGCTCGACGCACTTACGCATATTTGTTTTAATGTTTTGTTGATAATCAGTGATTTATATTGTTGATTAAAAAAATTATGAACAGTAACCGGTAGCATTTATCATTTAATTGGGACATTAATTACGTATTGTTAAATTTAATTTATTCATTTTGATTTATTAATGATCATTGTCATTGTTATTTAACTTGTTGGTTATCAAATCCTGATAATGATCAATTTCTTTTTGTTATATCATTTTTAAATACACCTATATATGTTTGTTTTTAGATAAACGAGTGAATGGAAAAATACAAGCTTTAAATTTCAATAGTTATTGCATCAGTGATATTTGCATTAATTTTTAAAGTTACTTGAATTAATCATTTTTCTTTTCTTCTTTCAGTTTCAGAGATGTCAGCATAAGATTTCCAGGAGCTAGAACCGATATTGAAATATTACAAGATTCAAACATCTATAGGCTGCATGAAAAAGTTATTCCTCCGGTAATAATTTGATACTTTATTATTTGATTGCTCTAATTTTTATTTTTATAATTGTATAATATGTTAAATAAGTAACAAGTAATAATTTAACGTTTGAATAAAATGAGGAGAAATATTAATGAACCAGTTTAAAAAATTATGTTTAATGATACATAAATAATTTATTCGATCAACTGAAAGAGTTTTGAATTAAATAATAATTAGTGTTATTAAAAAATAGATTTAATTATTTGCTAAAGATATTTTTAGTGGTTAAAATAGATTTTTGCTCGTCAAAAATATTTATTTTATCAAAATTAAGTTAGCTGAGATTTAAAAATTTTTAGAATTTTTTTTAATTTAAAAAATTATTACAAAATAATAAAAAGAAATTTTCATATGTGAAAATATTGAAATACTATGAGTCCAATTTAAAAAAAATATTTTTTAGTTATAATTTAATAAATAAAAAAAAATCAAAAAATTAAAAACGTCGGCTAACTTTAATGACACTTTATTTTTCTAATTTTCTATTTAAATAAATTTAAAATTAATTTCTTGAATTTTAAATTAATTTTTTTAATTAAAAATTAATTTATTAAATTAAGAATCAATTAAAAAAATTTTTAATTAATTTATTAAATTAAAAATTAACAAATATATTTAAATTCTAGGAAACTCAAAGTATAAATGGAATGGAAATTCCATACTATGTAATAGGACCACGTTCGTACCCTTTATTATCATGGTTACTAACAGAATACCCAATGGCGACAACGAACAGTGATCTACTATTTAATTCTCACATTGAAGCAGCAAGCCAACTTAGAAAAACAGCGATTGAACGGATGAGAGCACGGTTTGACATATTAAATTACCCAATTGACGTAAACATCGGAATACTTCCGCAATTAATCGGATGCTGTTTTGCGCTACACAATATTTGCGAGCGACACGGTGATTTCCTGTCGGATGAGCGAATCAAAAGCTCCTTGATCGTTGCCAGTAATTATGAGCAGCCGGAAAAAGTGCCTTACACTGATAAAAATATGTGCCTAAAGGGTGTAAATCAACGTGATTGCATTAGAAATTATTTTGTAAGATTAGATGATATCGATCAGTCAACATTCGGATACATGGACTATGAAAGCATTGACTTTCTCACTGAAGAAGTTGTATAACGCAAATTAAAAAATCTATTAATAAAAGTTAGCAATTAATCATATAAGATGATCATATAATAAGATAGAAACAATCATTTATAATTAAAATTTATTATTAATTTATTACTCTTTAATTATAATTTAAATAGAGGTAATGGAAGCGCTTGCGCAGTTCTCCTGTTCTCATCATATATACTTATGTAAAAGTTAACACATTAATGAACACGCGTGTATGCATGTATTTGTGTGTGTACAGTCTCTACATATTACCTGGTGGACTTGTTTAAAACCGACAGTCCGGTGATATTCTCGCTGTACACATGATTACCTATCAAGTATTTAAATATTATTATTTTGAATCTACCGCGGGAATTTGTCCGCGCTATTTTAAAGTATCTTAGTTAAACGTTAGTTTTTATTTAAGCTTATTTTTTTTATAAATAATAATACTGTTTATCGTTTAATAAATTATTCGTAATAATAATAATAATAATAATATCAAGGACTAATTTGCGTAACGAGTTAATACTTAAAAATATTAAAAGAATTAACAAATGTATCAAGTTGTAATGATTGTGTTAATAATTGCAATTATTTGCGATATAGTTAATAGTAAAAGTACTTATTACTATGGGGATCAAGGTGATATTGTGTTTCCCGGGCCTGCTAGCTATCAAAGGTCGATAGTAATCACAAGTCCTAATAATCCAACAACTGAACAAAGTTTTCTTGCGGTAAATTATATTTTTTATTTTTTAATGATAATTAATTTAGCAGATATTTGATAATTTTAAAAATTTTTTTTAACAAATAAATTATGGCAAAAAAAAAAAAGTAGAAAAAAAAATTGACACAGAAATTTTAAAAAATAAAAAATGCTATTTTTTAAAAATAATTTTTTTTAAAAAAATTTGTTTGTTGAAAAAAATTTTTTTGGAAAAAATTTATTTGTTAAAAAAAATTAAAAAATGGTTAAGTGACTGCTAAATTTTAATGTTATTATTTTTAATTATAAATTACGAGTAAATAATTCTAAATTTGAGTAAATGCTCAATTAAAACGCTGAATGTTTTGATCAAGTGTAAAAAAATTTGAATTGAAAAAAAAAAAAAAATGATTGTTAATTTAATAGTTAAATTGCAATTAACAATTAACTTTTTAAATGTTGACACTTATATGGTTTTACTGATAAGACTAAACTTGAATGGTGTGAAATGAAATAGTATATAAATGATAATAAATGTGTACCTGCTGTATCACCTCAACTCATTCCTATGTAAGTTTTGTCGTCTTGCGTGGATCACATGTGACCTCGAAGTCCGAGCATAAATAATGTCGAGGATAGAATAGAGACCGGTAACGCGTCATTACAAACTCCTGTTTTATTTACTGCCTGTTTTATTATTATTATTTCATTTTTATTTTGTATTAAATGCACCTACACGTTTATATTTATCAATTCTAATCACGTGATCATTAACGCAAGTGATTATACTTAGTGGGAAATACCATAGTACTTTCTAAATTGTAATTTTTTATTTGCACACAAATTTGCATCCAGATTTTTTTCTAAAATTAAATAAAAAAAAATTTTTGAGTGAATAATTTATCTTTTGTAAGAATGATGAATGAAGTATATATATTTATATAAGGAGATAATAATGAAAGAAAATAATAATAAATTAATACAATAAATTGTCATTGTCTAGCGAATGAACGACCTTAATTTATTTATAATCGGTATAAGTTTGATGGTTGTTAAATTTATACGACTTAATTTGATTATTTAAGATTTTTAAAAATGATCATTAAGTGTAAGGTATTTCTGTATTTTAAATGATTTATTATCAATTGAAACAGATGTAATCATAACTGAAATTAAAGCTACGTGAATTTAAGGTGATACTTTGACAATTTATGTGTTAAAAAAAAAATTACTTATGTGACAGATGTAGATCAGTGTATAAATTTTGTAAATACACACTCGGCAAGTGTGTTATGTACATTAAATTAAATTTTTAAGTTATTAATTAATAGCTGATATTATGTGAATAGCTAATTGCCGGTGTGAAATAAATTACAGATTAGTCATAGCTTAGGGATGCTGTTTTTATCAACAAGTTTACTTTTAAATATTTTATTCTCAGAATCAGATGTTTATTTTAATTGGCAAACCGGAGGCTGATTCTTGGAATAACATGTGTGCGGTGAAAGGCTCTTACTGAGATAAAAATAAGTACCGGAATTTAATGATCAATTTTTTTTTTCATTTGAATATTTTAGTAAAAATTAAAATAAAAATATTAATTGTTCTTTATAAATTAATTTTAATTAATAAAGTAATTTATTAACTGGAATGTCATTTGTTAGCTAAGAAAAATATTTTATTGTTAAATATTTATTAAGAAGCGTCTGGCTTTTATTAGCATTACGTCAATATAATTTAAAAATTATTAAGATTAAACATTGTCGATAGTTCATTGTAAATTCTATTTGACTTTAAGTTATAAATTATTTTAATTCATAGGATTAGATAATACTTGATCAAATATAACGTAATATTAATTAACAATTAATCAGTTGGGTTGATTGATTATAAAAATTTAAAAGAATTGTGTAACAGAATTGAGATATTTAAATCTTGAATTATTAATTTAATTAAAGTTATACTTAAAATATAATTATTGAATACGTAAGATATTGTTACTCGAAAAGATAAAAAAATGATAAATATGTTAGATTGTAAATGTAACAAAAGAAAAATTGTTTAAGAGTCTGGTGAAACGAAGATAAAAAAACTAAGCATTAAATATTTTATAGACAATAGAGTACCAGAAGTTATTCAAGTATTTGACATTGTACCACGTGTGAAACACGTTACCATAAATTTCGTAAAATTGATATATGATATTAAAAAATCTAAATGAATAATAAGATGAAAATGTTTTATGTACAAACTATAAGTGTAACAATACATGAAACAGCTGCACAAATTATTTAAGTAATTATTCCTTCATTTTTTTTTTTATAATTCCCTTTTAGATTAATTTATTTGACTGTTTACACTTGCTATAAATTATCACTTGTTAAACTTCTAAATTATCACGTACACGGAAAAATTTCACGGAAATATTAAAATGGACAAGAGGAAAAGTTATCATCTTTAATTCTTTTATTTTTAAGATTTATCAAAAAATGTTATTATGTTTTACCAACAATTTTCAAAGTAAATATATCATTTTTGTCAGATTACTGACCGCAGCATTGTAAAATAAAAATTTTTCTACTTTACAATTAGTCATGCAAGTATTTATTTTGCTCTGAGTCATTAAATTATCATTTCTGGCTACATTGATAATGATAAGCCATTGGTACATCATTTAAAAAATACATGATACCAATAATGATAAAATTTATCTATTATATATATATATATATGTATATAAATATATAAATATATAGAAACATGAGAATTACAACGCCACAAAAATTGTTTATTAAATTGGATATAAAAAAAAGAAACATTTTGTCACGTTTTATTAATTAGTTATCAAATAAAATTGAAAGCTGTTTCCGATTGTGATTTTTATCAGTATTTTTTTTATATGAAGATAAAATTTATTTATAAGTTTTTCTTTCTGCATTTATTTTTTTAGTGACTCATTATATTGTAACGATTAAAGGGAACCATTATTTATTTTGACGTTTGTTTAGACTTAGTTAAAAAAAAAAAAAAATTCATTTTTTATTGTTACAGAAATCAATAGAGTTAGCGAAACAAATGCAAAATTTTAAAACCATTGAAGATTTTCTCTCTATCGTTAAGGGAGTACCGGATTCTGAAATGCCTTCTTTCGTAGCCGGTAAGTGCAAATGTAAAAATTATTAAATAACTTCGAATAATTATCATCGATAAACTAAAAAAAAATATTGAACAGAAATAAACTGGATGAGTAATAGGAAAATTGCTAGCAAAAATTAACATAGTTATTAAAAGAATTTTTTTTTTTCACTTACTCATAAAGAATTTAAACAATTACATAAAATGACTTTTTAAAAATAACTTGACCTTAACTTTGATAATTCTTTTTTTGTTCATCATTAACAGCCTACTTTCCTGCTTTAATCACAAATATTTTGAAGATAACGTATTCTCAATGACATTTGTATTAATGTCCATTATGTAATCTCAATTAGTGTCACAAATGTACTGATTTTCTTTCAACAAATAAAAAAAATTAAATAAAATAAATAAATAAATACGACCAATCCAATCGCTAAAAAAGTCTAATAAAAACAAAATTACTACGAGACAGAAAGAACAAGATGACACTGGATATCATCTCAGATTATACTGAGTGAAAAAAAATTTTAGATAGTAGCTAGTATAATTCAGATTACAATGAGAATTATCCCCGGAAAAAATAGACCCGTAAAAAATTTTAGGTATGAAAAATTTATATTATTTTCTTAAAATTATTATAAAATAAAAATTATAATAATAACAATAAATTTTTTTTTGTAACAAAAAATAGAGTGATCATTCTGGGGGTGCTTGTTTTTCAGGAAAATTGTGGGTGTGATACAATGATAACAAAAAATAGAGTGATCATTCTGGGGGTGCTTGTTTTTCAGGAAAATTGTGGGTGTGATACAATGATTATTATAATTTTTATTTTATAATAATTTTAATGAAATAATATGAATTTTTCATAACTTTAAAATTTTTTCCGATTACAATGAGTATAATCCAGATATCACTCAGTATAATCTGGATTTTTTTAAGCTACTACCTAAAATTTTTTTTCACCACAGATATCACTGAGTATAATCTAGGATATCCAGTGTCATCTTGTTCTTTCCGTGTAGAAAAATTATTTTTAACCATCAAATTCGTAAGAAAGATTGAGCCTACATTTGGTATTACTTTCATAAATAATAAGATGTATAATGTAATTAAATACAAAACCATGACCGGTTTGAGTTTCATTAAACAGTCTCTTGGGGCTGTTATCAAGTGTCAATTCCTGTCTTTTATAGTTAGGCGTAACAAAATCATTCTCATTGACCTTGACGTCGTTATCGGTAATCTGGAGCTCCAGACATCGTAGAAATTTATTCCGATCATTATTATAATAACAGTCTTCGTCATTATCTGAATAATTAGCATTTTCATCATGGGGGACTAGTTTGTTACCTAATTCTCTAATCTCTTGTAAACTTAGTAATTTACTATTACTATTACTACTACTATAACAATTTCTATTAACGTCATCAGCCAGCATTGCACTGGTCGACTCTACGTTATCAACTTCAGTCTTCTTTGTTTGTATTGATTCAGTTTTAGCAGATGAATTGGAATTTGTGTCTCTGTTTGAATAAGCTATTTGGAGTCGGCACTGACGCTGACGTAGATCTTTCCGTATTTGTTTGGCGCTGAAAAACCGCGCCGATTTTATAACACCACAGACTTCGACATATTTCATCGGATTAACACTTTCATTCATTGGTCCGTCTCCTTGTCCATGCTCGTTTTTAAATCCAGCATTGTTTGTTTCATTGAAATAATTTATTTTCTGTTCTATTTCATCAAAATTAGTCGGCTGTGATTCTAATTTGCTTAAAAACTGCTCCGTTGAATAGCTATCATTCAACTTTGATTTATTGTAGTAATTATCGTCATCATCATCGTCACTGACATTGTCAGCTTGCTCAGACGGCTTTGAAGTCGGTGTTGAGTGTGAATCTAATTTCAATTTCTCCAAGTTTAGATTTTTTAAAGCCAATGTTAATTTATGACAGTAATTTTGTAATCCCACAGAAGCTTTGCTAAAATCAGCACTCTCAGATTCAACATCCATTTCATCTGTTTCGTCAGCACTTGTGTCCATTTTTCCTTCAGAATAACATTTTCTCTTGTACCTAATGCCATTGTCATCTTCATTATCATCTCCAAGTGTTTTATTCGCACAACCACCCATTGAATAATATTTTCTTCTGTAAAAAAAATTTTTATTTTATTAACAATGCAATTCATTTAAACATCAACTAATTAACTCACCTTAGTGGACGAATTTTGCGGTACTCGATTGTAGTACTGGGATTTATTTCATCAATAATGTGTCTTGAATTAACATTTTGGAACTTCATAAATGCTGATACATTTTTTCGGCCTTTAATTGTCTGTCCAAACCAATCTAAAATAACGTCCTCAGCTAAATAATTAGCCAAGTCATCAATCAAACCGTCAGCTAATGCAAAATAACCATTAGCAAATGAGACTGCTTCAGACAAATCTTCAGACATTTTTTATCTGAAACAAAAAGAATAAAATTTTTTCTTTAATTTAATATTGTAAAAAACTAAAAAGCAAAATATTAATTAAATTTTATAGATCGAATGGGTATAGAAAGAGCATCAGGATCATTAGCGAAACCTGCCGCGTGTGTGCCGGCACTTCAAGTAGTACCGCTCAATCCACGTGTAGAAGATCCAGCAGCCATATACTTTCCTCCTTGTACCAGAGTAAAAAGATGCGGTGGATGTTGCAATCATAGACTACTAACTTGTCAGCCAACTGAGACGCGACTAGTCAATTACGAGGTAATTTTGAAATAAAAATTTTCCTAAATTATTGGACGTAAATAGACAAATAATAAAATTATTTGTACGCATATATATGCTTCTATAATTAGAAAATAAAATTAATGATAACTAACAACTTTACAGTCACTATGTGACTGTCGTGACTTGTGAACTATAAATAAATTAAATTTTGCTTTATTAAATAATGACTTTTGTTAAATTGCACTGTACTTTCTTAACTATTGACGTTATTAAAGATATAAGCTCATCCCGATGTTACGCTCGTCAAGAGCTTTCATTTGAGTACCCACATGCATTTTGATATATATTTTTCATATATATATATATATATGAAAACATTGATGTGGGTACTCAAATGAAAGGTCTCGATGAGTGTAAAATCGGGATGAGCTTATATCTTTAAAAATGTCAATAGTTCACAAGATACAAGGTCATTTCTTAATTACATTAAATTGCACTGTACTTTCTTAACTATTGACGTTGTTAAAGATATAAGCTCATCCCGATGTTACACTCATCAAGAGCTTTCATTTGAGTACACACACGCATTTTTGATATATTTTTCATA